TACCAATCTATTGGTTAGAAGCTTAGCAATTATTTTGTACAAACAACCAAGTAAACATATAGGCCTATAATCCGAGACTTCCAAGGGATCCTTTTTTTTGGGAATTAAGGCAATAAAAGAAGCATTGCATCCATTGGTTATCCTACCCGAATTTTCGAAGAAATTAACCGCCTCAATTATTGACCTGCCAATCACTGGCCAAAATTTCTTAATGAAATTAAAATTTAGACCATCAGGCCCTGGAGCTTTCGACCCATTACACGACCAAACGGCCTCCTTTATTTCCAAAGCGGAGAAAGACGATTCCAGGAGATCGGCTTCATTTGTCGATAATTTAGCGAAAAAAGGACATATGAACTTTGGTCTAGAGGAGCAAGGCTCTTTGAATCTGTCAGCAAAGTGCAGTAAGAAAAAACTTTTGACAACCAAAAGATCCGAATTCCAAACCCCTTCGCAAATAATCCCTTTAATGTTGTTCCTTCTCTGACGATAGTTAATAAAATTATGAAAAAACTTGGAATTTTCATCCCCTTCTAAAGCCCATTTGAAGCGCGATTTTTGTTGGAAATCCAACTTTGCTCGATTGTCCAACATCATCAGATCAAAGATCCAATCATCTCTTTTTTGGCAGTCTACATTTGAAATACCCCCCTTTTCGGCTTTAGAATCCCAATCAAATAAGGCTTTGAGAATCTCATCTTTCTTTGTTGTTTCAATGGCTAAGAAATTTTTTGACCAAATTCTCAAGTCTTTTGAGAGCTTTAACCTTTTCCTTAAACACGAAATCAGCATCCCCAAGAAAGGAGCTTGAAGACCAAGAAGATAAGACCGTTTTTTGAAAATCATCAATACCCAACCATGAGTCAAAAACTCTAAATGGTTTAGGCCCCAAAGAAATATCATTGACTTTCAAAAGAATAAGGCAATCATCGGAAAAAGATCTGTGCAAAACTTGAACGAACGGATCCTTCCAAATAGAGAAAAAGTTAGACGTTACCAGGAAACGATCGAGCTTGCTCATCTTAGAACCGTCCTTGCTAAATCTGGTGAAACGTCTGCCGCAAAAAGAGATATCGAGAAGCCCAGAGGAGGAAATAAAATTGTTGAAATCTGAAGCCTCTTTGGAGTCAAAATTTGATCTCATTCTTTCTTCAGGAAAACGAACCGCATTGAAATCCCCCAATATAACCCATATAACATCTGAGACACTCAGAAAAACCGAGCTAAGATCCCATTCTTATAGAAGGTTATTTTGATAAAAGAACCCAAAAAAAAAGGCATGGAAGTTAGATTGATTAATTAGTAACGAAAGGCTTTGGGCATAATGAAACCAAATCCAAATCAAAGAAACATTAAAAATAAAAATACAATCTCATGATCTAATATATATATATATATATATATATATAGAGGAGCGTTCAAATAAAAACTTGACCCATTTGTGTAAACCATGTAAACCAATCTCATCCATTCATTTTTTTGATCAATGGCTAAGATTACATTACTTTATTTTAGGAAATTAAAAATTAAAAAWTAATTAATATTTATTTTATTTCATCAATAAGGGTAGAATCGGTAAACAAATTTAATTCATAGKATTTTTTATTCAAGGCAACCATATCAGGTAAATTATATTATTAATGAAATTGWTTCATTTTGTGAAGTAATATACTATTTTAATGTTAACATTTTTTAAAATAATATCCATCAATAAGTTATATCAAAATCAAAACACAACATATTCACTAATGTATAATGAATAATTTCATAAAAAATTAAAATAAATAATCATATTTCGTTTTTCTTAATTTACTTGTAGACGGATTCATTACATTTTAGTTAATGAAAATTTTTCATTGTTTAATACGCTTATTAAATATTATGATTTTGCAATATCGAGTTTCATTATCCTCATTTGATATTGAAACTTGAAAATGAATATGTTTCATCATCATGAAACGAGTGCATGAACATGTTTCATCATGAATAAAAAAGCCAATAAACCATATATTAATGAAACCGTCTCATATAAACATTAATTGCATAGAGAATAATTAAAATATATTATGCACCCATTTCATCTATTAAAACCATTCACCTCCACCATCATTTTTCAAGTCTTAAAGCGGTTAATGATTAACCGGTCAATTACATCATGAACCCGTTTCACATTAAAACTTGAACATTAATATGTTTCATCATCATGACCTGGAAGTACATGAACATGTACAATATAAATAAAAGAAGCAAATAAAACATTTTATAATGAAACCTTCTGATATGAACATTAATTGCATAAATAATGAAATATATTATGCACCCGTTTCATTATGATGAAATCTTTTCATTATGCATTTAATATAATATGCAACCGTTTCTTCGTAATGAAACTTTTTCATATGAACATTAATATATTATGCTATGGCAATATGAAACCTTTTCATATGAAACAGGTTCATAACCGGTAATTTTTGATACAATGAACCTCAAATCATTCATTCATTACATAACAAAATAAAATGTTCATGAATGTTTCCAGCTTCTTTGAATAAAAAAAAACAAATCAATTTTTAATATTATAAAATATTAAAATCTTTAAATCATTCCATTTATATAATTTCTATTATTAAATTTCCTTATTTAATATTCCTTAATAACTTCCTTATTTATGAAAAAAATAATAAAAATGACCAAAATAACCTTATTGATTAAATTTAATCAAAAAAGAATGGAATTTTCTTATTGGTTGATTTGGTTTATACGGTTTTTTAGAATGACATGGTTTTCATTTGAACATGCCCCTATATATATATATATATATATATATATATATGTGTGTGTGTGGAGGTTCAAACGAGAACCCCTGTGATTTACGAAAATGCGAGAACAACTCAATAACCACAAACTTTTTTTAATTAATAAATTAACTTTTATTATATATAAATAATTTAATAAGGCAGTAATGTAATTAAGTAATTTTTATAATTTTTATTTTATTTTAATTAACCATGTTTATCTTCACGTTTCCACGTCTTCTTCTCCTTCATTGATCATGTCTTCTTCTCCTTCATTCATGCGTCTCCAAATCACACC